CTGTACCTGACCCACTTACTGTAACCCACTGTCTAGGTGTACCTGTAACCAAATCTTCACTTGAGCAAAGTGCTCAAGAGTGCAACTGTCGCACAGAATGAATCAAGAGATGAAGAGGCTGATCTTTTATTTGGTGGGTTATTTTCTGGAATATATTGTCTGGAAGTGCAGCGTGAGCAAATGCAACCTTAAATTTCAGAAGTGAATTGAATCTCTAGTTAAAAACAAAAAAAAACCATGCATGGCTGCGGTGAATGTACATGGCAGTGGGACCAATGGATAATCCTCTTTTACTGAGCTTGCACAGAGACAATTGGCTAATGTGTTGACTTCTCTGCTCTATTATTCATTTTACAAACCTGTTTTAGCGTTAGTGAAAAACACAGAATAGCGAAAGGACAGTGACCAAGTTTGGAAGGAAGCCTCCCTTACTCCTTTTTCTCTCCAATCTTCTCTCGCCCCATGAGCTTTGGAAATCTGAGCATTCATCTAATGTTGTCCTGTTGACCATCTCCCATTTTATTGCTTCATCATCCCTGACTCTGCATTTCCGCTTTGGAATTCCCTCTTAAATCTTTTCACCTCTCTGCCCATCCTCTCGCCTCCATTAATCCACTCTGTAAGCCCAAACACTCTGAACGATTCACGTGCCATGTGCCCCAATACTGTCTAATGTCGCCAGGTGTCACATTGTTCTTGGCAATTCCACTCGGATGTGCTTCACTATGTTAAAGGTGTTTTAGAAATGGGCGTTGCACTTACTCAGCTGGAGCTGTGTCTGTTCTTTCTCCAGCTTCACCTGGTGGCTCTGAACACTCCCCTCACGGGTGAAATGACTGGGATCCGGGGCGCTGACCTACAGTGTTTCCAGCAGGCTCGGGAAGCCGGATTGCAAGGAACTTTCCGAGCCTTCCTCACCTCCAATAACCAGGACTTGATCTCCATCGTGAGGAGATCTGACAGGATCGCCGTACCAATTGTCAATCTCAAGGCAAGTACCTGTCGTGCAGGAGAGCTGTGAAATAACTTTAACAAAAAACCCGAAAGAACTGCGGACGCTGTGAATCAGGAACAAAAACAGAAGTTGTTGGAAAAGCTCAGCATGTCTGGCAGCATCTGTGAAGGAAAAAATAGCTAACATTTTGGATCCGGTGACCCTTCCTCAGAACCGATGGTAGCTAGGAAAATGTTGGTTTTTATGCAGAAGATAGAGTGGGTGGAGGAAGGGGGTAGGAAGTAAACAATAGGTGAGATAGAACTGAAAGAGTGAAGAACATTTGGACAGACAAAGGAATGATAACGATCAGTAACAGTCTCCAATAACAGCTATTCACTCTCCTAGCCTGATCGTTATCCATTTCTTTGTCTGTCCACGCACACAGTTCTGAAGAAGGGTCACCGGACCGGAAACATTAACTCTGTTTTGTCCTTCATAGATGCTGCCAGACCTGCTGAGCTTTTCCAGCAACTTTTATTTTTGTTCCTTTGAAATAACTTACTGGCTGTGCTTGATAGAGCAGTCCCACTGGAAAGCTGTTCTGTAAGACAGAGGGCAGGATGTTTCCTGTGCGTGAATGACACGGGCCATGGTGAGATGTGTAACAGGGAAGGTTTATCCCAACATCAGAATCAACACTCCTGCAGCTTTAGCTAAGTTCCGGCAAAATCCTCGCTGTGAGGCGGGGATTTGCCAATTGGAGGTTATTGCTTGTTAAATGGCCCAACTCACCTCATTAATACTCAGCTCCCAATCTTACCGAACACGTTGCCAGATGTTGACAGGGATTTCAGAGTGGGACTGGGTGACTTCAGCTCACTGCTTGCTTCAAAAGACCTTCCTGTTGGACACTGGGCACCGTCAACCCAGGGCACGCTGCATGGGCACCAGCCAACGCACAATGGTGTGGTAGATTCATAGTATCCCTACAGTGCAGAAAGAGGCCATTCAGTCCATCAGGTCCACACCGACCCTACGAAGACCATCCCACCCAGACCCCCACCCCCACTCTATCCCCATAACCCTGCATTTCTTATGGTTAACCCACCTAGCCTGCATAGCCCTGCACACTATAGGCAATTTAGCATGGCCAATCCACCCTAACCTGCACATCTTTGGACTGTGGGAGGAAACTGGAGCATCTGAAGGGGACCCATGCAGACACGGGGAGAATGTGCAAACTCCACACAGTCACACAAGGCTGGAATCGAACCTGGGCCCCTGGCGCAGTGAGGCAGCAGTGCTAACCACTGAGCCCCCACTTGACATGTGTGAGCCTTTAAAAACCCTCATGGCATATGTCTGACCCACTGACAGTACGTTTCAATGCTGTACCTCAGGCTGCCCCAGTAACTCTCATTGTCAGGATGCAGCAAGGGACACACTGCAAGCTCATGGGCTACACCAGGCTGTATCTGCAGGCTTTTCACTCACTGGCATAGTGCTCACTCCCTCTGAACCTCCCAGGATACTGACAGCTTCCCTGCCTTGCCTGGTGATGTCTTTCCCCTCAGCAGAGACACCAGGCTAACCACATTGCTGTACTTACAAGTACAGTAAATGCAGGCACTAAAACAGGAAGCTTGTCAATCAGTTCGAGGAAGTTAGCCTTTGGCCATGGGCTCCTGACACAATAAGTCAAGGGCAGTCTGTGCTTCCAATCCAGGGGCTTGGACACATCAGCTCCTCGGATTGGACAGCGTCCTGACTCTGACCAGACGAGAGGAGAGGAGCTGAATGTCAGGTGGTCCCCATTCATCCTGACACTTCCTGTCCTATTGAGGGCTGTTTACCTCCTGGAATGAGCGAGAAGCAGGAGTTAAAGGAGCTGAAAGTGGGCGGCAGAGCTGTTCCTGTTGCTTCAGGTGGGAAGGTGTCAGAGCGAGTGAGTAGGCAGCACAGAAGGAAGGCAGGATTAGTGTTGTCAGGGGTTGGGACAGGGGGCAGTGAATGAAGGAAGACATAGCAGCCCATGGATGGGAGTCTGGGTGGGAGATGGATGCGGGAGCAGACTTAGAGCGAGTATGCAGTATCATCGACCTTCTCCCTGCATTGCTGTACATTCCTCCAGAGGGCTGAGACTGCACTGATCTGGGGGTGGGGAAATGGGGGAAGCTCAGGCCAGGCTGGCATGGTCTGGTGTCGTGGTCCCCCCTGCTGGTCCTGAGGGTAAAGCCTGTCCATTACCCCATTCAGCAGGTGTCCACATTCTTGGCTGCATGGTGGGTGCTGATTTCTCTCCCCATCTGCTGTGTTCAGGGTTAGTATCAGCAAATGTGATGGGCAGCTCCAGGCTGACAGTGCCAGTCCAAGCGTACAGTGGGATTTCAATGATGGCACCCAGGGATGGGAGTCAATTCTGGGACATCCTGGCAGTTATCCAAGATATGGCGAGTGTTAGAATGGGGCTAGAATTGGGTGGGGCAGTGCCATACTGCCAGGATAGCTTGGTTAATGAAACAAGTTCAGTGAGATGAGCTGAGAGAGGATCCTCCACGAAACTTAACGAAACAACCAAATAAATGTAAGGTTCAGCCCCTTGAACATAAAATGCAGGGCACAGATTGAATCTGCTGTATATAGGAAGCGTAAATAACCAAACAGTACCAATGTTTTTCTATTTTATTCACTCGTGGGATGTGGGTGTTGCTGGCTGGCCAGCATTTGTTGCCCATTCCCATTTGCCCTTGAGAAAGTGATGGTGAGCTGCCTTCTTGAACCGCTGCACTCCACGGGCTGCAGGTAGACCTACAATGCCCTCAGGGAGGGAATTTCGGGATCTACTTGCTGCATTATTCCCAGTTTCTGACCTGCTTTTGTAGCCACGGTGTTTATATAGCTAGTCCAGTTCGGTTTCTGGTCAGTGGTAACCCCCAGGATGTTGTTCTTGGGGTGGGGGGGCGTGGGGTGTGGGGGTGTGGGGGGGTGGTGGTGGTCAGTGATGGTTCAGCTATTGAATGTCAATGGACAATAGTTAGATTGTCTGGTATTTAAATAGCGGGAATCTTACTTGGCACATTGTCAGTCCAAATCTGGGTATTGTCCAGGTCTTGCTGCGTTTGTAAATGGATTGCTTCAGTTCCCGAGGAGTCACGAATGGTGCTGAATATTGTTCAATCATCAGTGAACATTCCCCACCCCCCCACCCCGAAATGGCATGTGTAAATCAGAATAATGTCTGCCACAACTGGATGTTTCTGAAGCTCAAAGTGCAGAAGTAAGAATCTAACATTTCCTGGAAAGATTGACCGGGTATTTATACAGTCTGGTGCAGCATTCCCTCCAGTTATCTTAACAGCTGTGCAGGCCTCTGCGTGTGTGTGACAGTGACTTCCGAAAGTCAGTGCCAACTGGTTTATGTGGAACCTTGGACTGGTTGCGCGCACACAGCAGCCATACACCTCAGGGACAACATTGAGCCAGTGTAAACTCAGCTATCTGGAAAGAAAAGGTCTCGAGTGATAGGAATAATGTAAGTGGCACCCCATCCATCACCTTAAAACATTCACCACCTCTGCCCAAAAAGCACGGCCTGTACTATCTTCAAAGTGCACTGAAGCAACCTGCCAATGCATCTTTGACAGTACCTCCCAAATTCACGACCACTCGCACCTAGAAAAACTGAAAGAGCAGCACCATCTGCAGGTTCCCCTCCAAGTGACACACCATCCTGACTTGGAAATATATCACTTGTTGTTTTATCAAAATCCCGGAATTCCTTTCCTGACAGCGTTGCGGATGTACCCTACACCTCATGGATTGCGAGTTCACTGCCACATTGTCCAGAGCAAAAAGAGGTGGGCAATAAATGCTAGACTAGCCAAGGATGCCCACATCCCAATAGCAAATAAAAAGGAAATTCATTGCATCCCCATGGATTTTCCTGCCGGTGGGTTACAGCTGGTGTCCTAGATCTGGTGGCTCAGTGGTTAGCACTGCTGCTTCACAGCGCCAGGGACCCGGGTTTGATTCCAGCCTCGAGCGACTGTCTGTGTGGAGTTTGCACATTCTCCCCGTGTCTGCGTGGGTTTCCTCCGGGTGCTCTCGTTTCCTCCCACAGTCCAAAGATGTGCACATTAGGTGGATTGGCCGTGCTGAATTGCCTCGTAATATCCAGGGATGTGCAGGCTGTGTGGATTAGCCATGGGAAACGTAGGGATAGGGGAGGGGAGTGGGCCTGGGTGGGATGCTCTTCAGATGTTTGATGTGGATTTGATGGGCTAAATGATCTGTTTCCACACCATAGGGATCCTATGATCATTTAGTTACTGTAGAATTTATTTCTTTTCAGGTTTTGGATCCTATTTTTCCCAAGGGTTTCTACGTATCCTGCTGTCACTTTGCCTTCTCTCATAAGGGGTCAATCCATTCAACTGCTTTTTATCCTATAACTGTTGAAAAGCAACATTCTGATCTTGTGCTTTCTTACAGGGTGAAACGCTGTTTTACAATTGGGACTCCCTCTTCAGTGGCTCTGGGGGACATTTTAACGCCAAGGTGCCTATATATTCATTCCAAGGACAAAATGTCATGACTCATTCCACATGGTGAGTACAGAAAGTGTCAGAATCTGGCAGTCACCTTGTAGCATCCTGGACGATTGGCCGACATTGTATTCCTATAA